AGAATGCATACAAATCCCATTTAACTTTAACAAGATTTCAAATTCTACTCTCCAATGACGGCATGCGCGAACCCGACCGATTTTGAGCTACGGGAAGATCCTATCTTGTTATTCATACACTTCATCTAATTTATATAACGATGCACGTCATCGGCGTCATAGCCTGTGACGTCACATGATACCAACACAAAATATTTAGGGTGTAGGTGTGTTCTTTTTTAGAATCACTTTACCGAGTACACTGGCATTACAGCCACTAGACATATTTTATTATATACGCGTAGAAATAATATTTAAAAATTTCTATTAATGTTAACTTAAAGAAATACACAATAATATGTTTCATTTAATTTGTATAAATGCATTATAAAGCGTTTTTATCAAGAACATTTGTTCGGAACACACTGTAACTGTAATCGAACAAAGCTAAAATTTTGGCATAAATTGGTAACACTTATTTGACAGTTGCGGTGTTGACACTTTTTGTACTTCATTATTTTGAATTTTAAAGTGAATATCTCTTGTTTTATATTTTTAACTATTTAATAAAATCTGTTCTTTTTAGAACAAAATTAGTGTGTTTTATTTCAAAAATGTCACGTAAGAATTTAAATAGTCGTTGTAAAGAGATGGTAATACTTTTGCAATAATTATGTAATCTATTTGATTTAAAATGGAGTCAGGATTTTTTTATACTTTGGCAACTATGTCAACTTCGATCTCTGACGTAGATAATGACGTAAGTCGTTATCTAAATTAGATGAAGTATATATGAATGCTACAAATATAAAGTTACTTTTAAGAAATAATAATTTGTGTTATGAGAAGCTACAAATTTTAAATAAGTATAAAACTTGCCGTATTTTTTTTGTAAAATGTATATGAAGGTTTAAAATATAAGTTACTTTTACGAAATTATAATTTGTATTATGAGAAGCTACAAGTTTTAAATAAGTATAAAACAAATATTTTCTGTTACTTTAAATGCAGTTAAATATTGTAAATTAGCACTTTCCAAATCTTATCTATTAGGACCTTATTATTAGGTGCGAATGGTCAACCCGCTACAATGACACTTGTGAATCATAAATTGTACATTTCCTAAGAAGTTTATTGCGGGCGACCGTTAAAAGGGTATTTATTTATAACCACGGCCAGGTCAAAAATGTAAAAGCATTTCTATTATATACGGTAATTTAATTAATACTATTAATTTTTTATATCACTTTAATCAACATTTGTATAATATTATGTGAGAGTATGAAAAAACTGGAGACTTGGCAACTCTGACACCATTTAAGCGTATGTTAAATAGTTAAATTAAATGTCATATACAGAGATATGTAAGAGAGGGGATATGACATACCGTGAAATAGATGGGATCGGTTCGCCATATTGGAGAGTGTCTGACAGATTGTTGTTTGTGTCGAGGACTTCTGTGTATAGAAATTTAATTTTAAAAATATTTTGAACTTAATTTTGTACGGTTTTACGTTTATTTTAAAGTGAAACCATTATGGCTTCGTGTGCTTTTGTTTTCTGTCTAAATAACAGTGAAATAATCAGAAAAATTTAACTGGAATATCTTTTCATGGGTTAGTATGAAATTGTAAACAGTGTACAGGGCGGTATTACTTCCGTTTTTAGTGATGCTGCGAGTAATAAGAACAGGTAATCTTTTTAATTTGGTTTATGTGGTTGTAGATTTCCTAAAGATGTTGAAAGGAGAAATGCCTGGATACAGTTCGTAAATAGTGTGAGAACTGGGGACCTTCAAAACATAGCAAATTGTGTTCCAAACATTTTGCGGAGGACTGTATAGATAGGACCTCATTAGCTTTTGTCCGTTTGCGTGAGATTGCAATTGCTACAATTGGTGAATCTCAGGTAACAATAATTATAACAACAATAAATAATTATTATTATTAATAAATATTTATTAACAATAAATATTTATAAATGAAGTAGGTTATTAAAATAATGTAGGTAATATTCTGAATTACACCTGGACATTACACAGTACTTTTGTATACAACTTCAATTGTACATTTCACTTGCTTTCATTTGCAAATAAATAAGTTTGTATAGGTGTGAACAAAGAGATTTCAACTAGAAGGTTCTTGATATTTTATATAAAGTACTAGTTTTTAATTAAACACATTTTTGTTTAGACCATTCTTTAAATATGTACTATTTGACATTTTTTATTGATGTAACAGCAGCAGTTCTTTGCCTTTCAAAATATGATTTATGCTCTTTTTTTATAAAGCTACTTACTTTGTGTACAAAATGAAGGTTTATATATGTTATGGTATTTTAGGTTTATGAAGTTTCAGGACTTTTTATGAATAACATTTTTATAAAACTAATATTAAATATGTTTTCAAATGCAGTCAACTTAAGATTCACACCATTTACATACTTGTATATTAATTAATACCAGATATATCTTAAACTACTAATTTATTAAATTAAGAAAGCTCCTTTTTCTAAACCTATAATATATATATATATATATATATATATATATATATATATATATATATATATATATATATATATTATATATATATATATATATATATATATATATATATATATATATATATATATGTATTATTAAATCTTTGATATTCTGATATTTACTGTTTTGTTTTTTCATACAGGTGCTACATATCCAGGATAATTCAAAAATTAGAGTACGAAATGTTTACCTTAAATCAAGATGAACGCCTCAGAAGTCACCAGTTTAAACTTAAAAAAAGAGAATTTTTCTACAAGATCAAGATAGAACTTTCTACCAAATAGAGTTTTCTAGAGCTGGAATAACCTTAGTGATAACATTGTATCGGCCCCTTCTACCAACATGTTTAAAAATAGACTGGATCGTTTTCTATTATAGTTGCAAATTGTTTGTATATATTATATATATATATATATATATATATATATATATATATATATATATATATATATATATTACAAGTGATTTCAATTAAAAAATAATTTATAAACACGTAGAAATTATCAGGTATAGTGGTCTCTATTAAAAATCTTTGTTTTTTCTAAAGAATATTTCGCTATTTATTTTCTAGCTTCATCAGGAGTACAATGTAAAACCATTACAAAAATGGCGTACAAATACATTTAAAAAACACTTACAGAAATTAAAAATTTCACATATAAAAATTGACATTGAAGTATGTAATAAATGTCATGATTAAATTTTCTTAGGCACGTTAGTCACAGTAATATAATTAAAAACTTAAAATGACTTTGGGAGTAAACACAAAAATAGCAATAAAAGAAACGTTAGAAGAATGATATTTCTTTGATGAATTATTAAGGTTGGTTGTTATTAAGGTGAATATTAACTATTTCCAATATTTATAAATTTTGTTCAATATATAGGGAACATATATAGACACATGTGGGAAGTTGACTTCCCACATGTGTCTAGTTTCTATTTTCTAGGTACCAAATGTTGAAGAAACATAAAAAGCCTTATATTAAAATCTCTATTTCACAACACTACTGCACACATGTATAGTTGGTTGCCTGACTATAACCAGATAATTTTCTTTCCACAGTTCATCTTATATACATAATTTTAAAACAACAATATTGATGGTTGATACTGTTATATTAATTTATTTTACTTTAACAATTTTAAATAACGTTGACTTTTGTCTTAAGTAGACACATACAGTTATATTGACTGCTCTGTTATGACTTCCGTCCTAACTTGTCAACATTGTCATTTCAATCAGTTACTTCCATAAAGTCCTCGTAGACACACCGTCTCAGCACTAACAACTTCAAGTGGAGTCATATGTCGCCATGTTACCTAATCCAACGGTAACTTTAGCAGGTGGAGAAATTTTATTAAACATCTTAATATTTTATAAGAAATAATGTAAACCAAATGTAACTAATTATTTGTTAACGGGTTTTTACCCATGTATTTAGTGGCTACATTCATGTACACTTTGCATTAACCTTGGTTAAAATTTAAACTTCATGTTCTTTTTAACCTAACCTAACCTAACCTAACCTAACCTTGGTTAAAATTTAAACTTCATGTTCTTTTTAATTAAGTGGTTATACAATTTTTGGGACACTGATGACACGAGCGGCTAGCTATCAGGTGGACGCGATGGAAGCGCCATGCAGTACGACGAAGAAATAATAATGAAGGCAGTCTTGTTGACGGCTGTCATTGTCAATTCATCAAAGAATGCAGAAGCCAAAATAAACAACAAGAAATAAATTTAAATTAGAATGTTTATAATTATTTTCGCCCAATTTTTTAGGGATCAAAAAACGTAAATAAAAACCTCTGTATACGTATTCAAAGAATAATTCATAAACAAACCTTTTTTACATTATAGGTAATAGTGGCAAAACCTGTTACTCCTCATGATTTTTGAGATATAGACACCAAAAATTAAGAATTTTCATCAAAATGTTTTGTTTGTTAATTATTTCTATATTATTTGATTATCTACTTTATTTATGGTACAACAGTTTTTACCCATTATTACAATTAGTAAGATATTAAATAAACACAAGTTTTTAAAATGTTTATTATGCCTAGAAAATTTTCAGATTTTTCTAGCCTCTAATAATTTTCATCACAACTTACGCTGTAAATCAAAGCGATATAACAATTTATGATTGATCTGTGTTATGATGATCTCTGTTGTATATATAATTTTGAAAAAATGCAAATATTTTCCTCATATTTCAAAATTACTTAGTGTGGTCAAACACTTTATATAAGTCCAATAAGTACAATGTGGTTTTTAACATGTCACTTAAATAGAACTGGTTTCTGGCAGTAAGAATGCTCACTAGAAACTTCTTTGGAAGTACTTGAAGAAGCTGAACCAATGAGCAACTCCTTATAGTAAGTAGTTTCAGCTTCATTTGCTTTACACAGTGTTTTCTGTGAGCAGGGATTTATTCTTTTCTTTTTTGTGGATGTAAACCGAATTTGAGATGCAATACGTTTATTTGCAGGTTCCTTTACCGTTTCGTTGGATTGAATAAATGCCCCACTGACGACAGACTGTATTGTGTTGTCCAGTGTTTTCTCTAGTGTTTGAAGTAAATTGTAATCAATATGATTAGTTCGTAATTGGCCTTGGAGTAAATTCATTTTTTCAATAATACGATCAACTGCATTCGCATTGTCTTGTATTTTTCTAATTTCAGTAATACTGTGATCAATAGTACAGGATGGTAAAGTTGAAGAATCTTCTATAGTAGTACTGGTACTTGGATCCAAATGTTCTGACTTGATGTGGCTTAATACAGCATGGATATGCTTACAGATTGTAAATTTAATATGATAATTTGGACAAGAACAAGAATATATGTGTATACACGATCGGCAATTATTACATCTCAGTTGACAGTTTTCTACAGGACATTTGTCACATTCTTTTCTGATAAAATAATTTATCTTACCACTGGAAGATTTGACTTCCCAAATACTAGGATTTATTTTAGATTGTGTAATATTTTCTCTTTGAATGCTTCTAGATTCAATATGACTTTTATTGATTAAGGTAATTCGATAAGTTGACTTTCCTTTTATTGTTTTCGTTAATCGATCAAACAGTTTATCCCTAGTAAATTTCATTAGAGCATCTATTGTTTTATCCAGTCTCTTTACCTTCTTTCCCTCTAAGTAAATATGCTTTAGGACTTTATGGAATGCTTCTAAATACATATTTGTATTTATTCCCAATCCATACCTATAACAATGTGTCCATGACTCCACTCGATTAACATAGTTATTTTGAAAATAATTAGCAAATTCTTTTGTAGTTTCATTGTTATGAAGTTCATTTAGTGTATTTTCTAGAAGAGTACTAAATTCATTTTCACTAGTACTGTCCATTAGAAGTCTTAAGCATTTATATACTTCAGCTTTAACTTCTTGAGAGCCATTTATTTTTTTTAATTGTTTTCGCCAGTTTTGATCAACATGCCAAGCACAAAGTAAGCGATGTAGAGGTAAACCCATTACACTTACCCAAGCATTATAGAAAACAGCATCATCATCAGACATAAATACTTTAGGAGTTATAGATCCAGTCTTAGTTTTAATAATTTCAAAGAAATGGGCCATAACAAATGTATCTGTTTTATTTGAAATTAAGT